CGCCGTCGGAAGCTTCCCTTCGTCCTCGCTCGATAGTCGATCCCGACCCACCACGCCCATCGGTACGTGCCCACCGATCCCGAGCCCACCCTCGGTTACCTGTTCTATTGATTGCCGGTTGAAGATCGCGACGGAGATCAGCCGACTCCCAGCGGACGGACGGACCCATGCGCTCGCGCCGACCCGGATCCGTCGCCGGCCGGGACACCAGTGCAGCCGGCGGCACTGGCGGTGGGGTTTTGGCGCTCCAACAGGCGGCGCCGGCGACCAGTGCCGCCGGCCTGTGGATTGTTTGCTTGCTCGATTACATCGTGTTAGGTTGCGCCGCTGCTTGTCCCGCGGGACGCGAGCAGGCCGATTCGTTCGAATCCGCAGCGACCCTTGCCGTACGCACACACGTGCTGCAACGGGTTTAATTCCATTTCCTGTTTGCAATTCCCATCTCTTTCATAGCGGATTCCTTTTTCTGGAATTCTTCAGCCAATATATGATGTTTAGTAATTCCTCCCTATTTCAAGCCAAAGATTATGCGCGCTGATTAGTGGAAATTAAGTTGTTTCCCATTTCAGCACTTGCGGCGACCACGTGCACATTGATTAGTGGAAATTGAGGTTTTGGCTAGTCGCGCATTTAGCACTTGCGGCGACCGCGAGTCTTCTAAGTCGATAATCGTGGGCATTGATTAGTGGAAATTGAGGTTTTGGCTAGTTGCACATTTTACAATCGTGTCAGATAATATCAAAATTAACTTAAAAATAGCACTTCCTCTTTTATTTCCCTTTTTATGTACTGTCTCTACCACTACACGAGATGTTTGTGTTTATAGGAATATAATTGCGAAACACACTAAACAAAGGGGAAACGCGGCAATATATAGATTTTGGTTGTCTCAGAATTGACACATGCCATTAATTGACGCATTTTTGTTTGTGACTTTCAGGTGTTGTCGTTTGCGTATTAATTTGCAGGGCTGATTACATACATCGTGTTAGCTTACCCCGTGGACGCGAGCAGGCTGATTAATTTGAATCCGCAGCAACCCTTGCCGTAGGCACGTGCTGCAATGGGTTTTCTTACTTTCCATGTTTGCAATTCCCATCGCTTTCATAGTTGATTCCTTTTTCTGGATTCTTTGGCCAATATATGATGTCCTGGTGCTCATGCGAGTACCTCTAGATTTTAGAGATTCCTCCTTATTTTCAAGCCAAAGATAATTATGCATGTCGATTAATGGAAATTAAGTTGTTGCACATTTTAGCAGTTGCGGCGATCGCGAGTCTTCTAAGTCGACGGTCATGGGCATTGATTAGTGGAAAATGAGGTTTTGGATAGATGCACATTTTACAAAATAGCACTTCAAAATAGCACTTCCTCTTTTATTTCCCTTTTTATATACTGTCTACGGCACTACACAAGATGTTTGCGTGCATAGGAATATAATTGCGAAACACCCTAAAAAAGGGGAAATGCAGCAATATATAGATTTTGGTAGTCTCAGAATTCAGACATGACATTCATTGACGCATTTTCGTTTGTGACGTGCAGGTGTTGTCGTTTGCATATTAATTTGCAGGACTGATCATCAGAGCTAGCAGCAGTGAAAGAAAATGGCGTCTCCCAATGAAGCTGACGACGACAATTTTGGATACAAAGAGGGGAAAAAAGAGTACATGCTGGAGACTATGCAATGTTTGCTATTTGCTAGAGAGAACCTCCCCGACGACGTGTACCACGAGTTTGTCAAGACCATGACCGGCATTTGGAAAAAACGGTATGTATGTTCTGAATAATTAGTCGGTATTAAATACCTTGTTGATCACATTCACACAATTCCCAACTGCAGTGCCGACCCTGATGGTGAAATAAGGAATATCTGCCCTGAAAACTGCATAGAGACGGCCTTGAAGCTATTCCAGGGCTGTCCTACAGTTAAACAGAGCTTCCTGAACTTTACCGAAGGCCGTAGCCCCTTCGAAGGCAATGGCAATGTCGATGCCGTTGCTGTCAACCCCCTGGTGCAGAAACCAATGGATTTTCTTTCCAGAGTGAAGGTGGTGAATAAAATCTCATGGTTGCTCCTTCTGTTCGCCTGTGGTTGCTATTTGCTAACACGATCTTCGACTACCTTATGACTGCAGACATGTCCTAACATCAGCGACGATGATTATGCTGCTTTTTTGCAAACCATGCAAGATTTTTGCAGGGACAGGACCATGACCCCTCGAGAAGTTTACAGTAATGTACTTATTACTTCTTCAGAAACTGTGTATAACTATTAAGTAATCATTCAGTAATTTCTCTGTAGAAGATTGGAAAAGACCAGCGTGTTTGATTCATAATTCCTTGTCTTCGTAGGTGGAGAGATGCATGCGTAACTGTCCCGAGCTGTTGGAAGAGTTTATAGATAATTTTCTCCCGGCAGACCTGAAGGTACCCTTTCTCATCAAGTGACATCATTCAGTTTATTATTTACTCATGTGACATGGTCATCTCATTGATTCTCCTTTGCAGGTCTTAGTTAAAGAAAATGATAATCACAGCTTGGATGGTGTCCATATGAAAGAAGGTTTTTCCGCCTCTCCTGCCCTGAATGCAAACAGTCCCTAGGTTCCTTATTTCAGCATTCACCTATGATAACTAGATGCAATTATTTATGCCCTTTTCTTATTAATTACTCCCCAAAATGCTATTTGCAGTCCGCGATTCAACCTATTCTGTTTAATTGAATCCTTGCTATTGACCAACACATCAATATCAGTCATGTCTGATCTTCCAAGATGAAATAGCAAACTGCAGTTCTGCAGCAGGATCGGTAACTTAAGATATATACTAATCTCTCGTAGGTAATGGAGTGTCGCCTCACACTGAAGAGGACGAGGAAGACAAGGTTAAACGCTTGCCAGAATGGACTACCTCAAGAATTGATGAATTACCCCCAAAATTGGAACCCAAGGAACTCAAAAGACATTGCACTCCTAGCTATTACCTGCTGCCAGATAATGTAAATCCCTACAAACGAGATTCTCATGTAAATTACTACTGGCACAACTAATCCAAATCATACTTGTTCTCCATCGCAGTGTACACCTCTATTGAGTTACCGGACCAAACTGGGAAGGTCTATTCTCAATGATGCTTTGATTTGTCCTGTATCTGAGGAGGAAAGCCCTAACCATAAAGCTGCAAATGAATATGAAGCAAAAATGTTGCTTTGCGAAGAAGACATGTATGCACCAGTTGCTAATTTGTTCATTATTGTTCAGTCTTTGTTTTATTCGGAAATATATCAGCGAATAACCGATGATTTTCATAGTGCCCTGTTGTTTTGAAGATGTTTCACTGCTGTGTTCTTTCTTCAGGTTTGAGAGTGACATGCTCCTGCAGTGGTTTAGTGTGACTGCAGACTTCATTGCGAATCTCCAACATCGTGTTCGCAGCCATGTTAAGATTAAGGAACAACTAACTCGTAAGAATGGGTCACCGGAAACAAAACTTTGAGTCGGTCTCTTTGTACGTTCAGCTAACTAACTATTCCTTTCTTGTTTGTTTTTTAATTGTACAAAGCTCTACACAGGAGGTGCATCATAAGACTATATGGTGAGGAATTTCTTGAAGCTCTGTTGGATACCGACAATGCTAGTGCTGCTCTCCCTGTTATACTTTCTCGTTTGAATCAGAGCATAGTAGAAATAAGGGAGTCACGATTGCGTTTGCATAAGACTTGCTCAGAAGTTATAGCAAAAAATTACTACAGAGCACTTGATAATCGCGGCCCCTGTTTCAAACAATTGGATGCAAAGAGAATGAACCGAAAAGGTAGTTTCAACTTTCACTCTGCCTCAAATATAATGGCACTTGTAACCAGCATTAGGCCTGCTTCATCTACTCAAGAAAGTTTTTCCATCTTTTTTTGTCTTGTTAGTCTTATTTTCATACATATTTCCCGTGCAGCTTTGCTGGCTGAAGCCAAAGAAATCAATGCAATGAAGCCGAAGCCTGAAGATCAATATGCCAAAGAAATCAATGCAATGAAGCCTAAGGCTGAAGATCGACATGCCAAAGAAATCAATAAAATGAAGCCAAAGGCCGAAGATCAATATGCTAATCCTGATATACACGAGGACATAAGCAGTATAATCTCCTCTGCATGCGCTTCTGAAGAGAAGCAGATGGTGACTTGGACAAAAATAGTACATCCATTTCTTTCTGCTCACTGTGCACAGCCTTCATCAGAGGAAACTGTAGCTCCTGAAAAAGCTTGTGAACATTGCGGCACCAGAAAAGATATTCTCAATGACAATCCTGATGCTTTCACTGACAATAATCTTCCTCTATCCTCCAAGGTACTCATACACATAAGACATAATATTCTGTTCTTAAGAATTGTGTCCCAAATTTTGAATATGCAATAACATGATTTGTTTAGTATCCATGTTCAGTAATACTAACCTGCACCCTGTCAATTTTTATTTCAGAGAGGTGAATTCGTAAGCAAAAATTCCAAAGACTTTAGCTCTTCACACGATGGTTCTGGTGCAGATATTGAGGAAGGCGAGTTCATACCCGATCGAGAAACCATTATATTGGATGTCATGCGTGGTGCCGGAAAAGAACCAGTAAGTTGTGATGTTGCTGGTTCTGTTAGAGATGGGTTGAGCTCTCGTTGCCGCATAATCGATACTTCCGAACCTAGTACTCGTGACCATGGGGCCAAACATGAAAAGCAGCATGAATCAAGGCAAACATCTGCTAAACCACGTGGTGTGAAAGGAGGTACTTGTTGTTTCATCGTTGTGCTTCGCAGGCTTTACCAGGTATTCATCCTACTCTCTGCTTTATTTTTTGGTTGGAAGTCAAAGGATTATTGTTTCATTTAAGCAAACTACATATGTTCTTGCGAAATAATTTTATTTATTTTTCCTTGTATGGCAGATTTTATATAACAGACTACAGAATGCGAGATATTTATGCACCAGTGACGACCTATATGCAGAGTAATGTTTAGGATGCATATCTATCTAAACAGAATTGCTCATTTTTTCACCATGCAAGAGTTTGTTTTAAAACCATAACTTCTTCACTGAATGGTGCAGATTTAAGGACAAACTCACCAAGCTGCATTATCGCGCTATTGATAATTCCAATTTTGAGGACTTCTGCCTGAAATATCTTGGGCCAATGTCTTTTGAACTTTTTACTCTGGATACAGTGATAAACCAAGTTATCAAGCAGGTAATCTGTATTAGTATGGGGTAGTGACTGGGAATTCTGACCTACCTATTTTTCTTCATACCTAGATCACTGTGAATTCGTTTAGCGCTTGATCATTGTAATTAGTTAATTACGTATAGTTAACACTGCTTATTCGTGTGAGATAGTTAGGCATGCATAACTGATAATCCAGTTACTTCTGCTTACTTGCAGCTGTGCATAATTTCTTCCAAGGATCCAGACAACTCAATCGTTCAATTCCTGGAGAACTTACAAAGGCCAGTTCTACCCAATGAATTGCCGAAGCATGATCGAGAGGAGCAGGAGAAAGCTCTAGATTATACCGTAAAACTTCCACGCCATTTTGAGAGACGGTAGTGATCCCCTAAAATGGACTATATTACTCCGTACTGCTTTTAGCTCGTTTTCATTAGACTAACACTATGCATGTTTTCCTAGGAAAAAACGCAAATTGGAGAACAGCGCAACAGGTTCATGTCAGCTTGGAGGAGTGACTGAAACTCATCACTGAATGTTATACCTTTTTTCTGCAGGGATAAAACTGATTTATTCCAGGATTATAGAGTTAAAGTGTTTTATTGAATGTTATACCTTGGTGTAATGTAACATGCTAGATGTGATTATTTGAAGTATCATTACAATTAAATAGAGAAACATTATTTTGTTTGTTATGAGAAATTACCCTAGTACCATAAATTTAGTTAGAAAATAGAAGTGATAATTTACCTTCTTTTTGTGCAAAAAACTATTCAAGGTATGCAATTGATGATTTTGTTTGCTAGAAAAACTACTCTAGTCCGTTGAATTTAATTGAAAAATAAAAATGATAATTGACTTTGATAAGCGCAAAGAACTATAAAAAATTCAGTAGGCGCAGTTAAATTGTGTGTGTGTTTTTGCATCACGTAATTATTGGGATTGGGTGATACTAGCCCACACTCCCATCCACTGTTGAGGCGGTGAGGTTATGGTTTTTCATCCGATGGCTATCCAGGTTTGTTGCGCTAAGGACAGGTTTAAGCTGTACAATTCTTATACAATCGTAACATCACGTCAGGCATGTAGCAGGCCTTGTGCGAAAGAAGCAAAAGCCGGTCATATGCACTAGTAGAAAAATGGTCAAACGTGAAAACATTAGTGCTGTTTGTAAAAAAACCGGCACTAATATGATCAATAGTACCGGTTCGTGGCGGCGATCAATAGTACCGCTTCGTAATGAATCTTTAGTACCGGTTCGTGCCACGAACCGGTACTAAAAGGGTGGTGGCAGGCTGGCGTTAGGCCAGGGCCCCACGAGCCCCTTTAGTGACCGTTTGTGACACAAACCGGTACTAAAGGTCTAACCTATAGTACCGGTTCATGCCACGAACCCACACTAAGGGGGACAAG